TTTTCGAGTTAGGGGCTGCAACCTTAGTATATGTATATATATACACGCATGTGTGTATATGTATATATATATATATATGTATCTATTTATTTGTGTATTTTTATTTATTTACTTAGGCATAAGTAGGGTTGTAGGTTCTGCAAATGCAAAGTTGCATCATGGCCATAGCAAGTTAGGGCCCTCGTGGATTGCGGCAGTTACTTGTAAATGTCTGCGCATGAACTTTCAAGTCGAAATGGCAACGAAGGGGCCAAGGGCTTTGGGGTGTGAGGGTCGTGGTTTCGTAACAAATCTGAGCCCGACCCTCGATTCCTGGGGCCTTAGGCACTTTTTTCCACTAATTTTCGGAGCCTCGTGTTCCTCCATGAGACTGAGGGATGGCTCTTTGAGAGCATCGACTTTTGTTGTTAGGGTTTAGGGTTCAGGGCCTTGTGTGCTTAATTGATCCAAGCCCTACGACCAACTCCTTTTATCCCCAGTTAGTTCAGGAAGAACCCAGATCGTACGACCTGGGCTATCCATGTCAGCACTCGCAGCGAGAATTGCCTCTCGGCAGAAATTCGCTAAGAGTCTTGTAGGCCTTGGACAGTCTATAAACATACATATATATATATATATGTGTGTATATATATATATGTATACATATATAGAAGCCTCAGTGATAGCCAATAGTATTGTCAAGGGCTCCTCATTAGTACTCTGTTCTGTTGGACCCTAGTGCCGTCAGTGTCATTAACTGTTGCATCAATTCACCCACCAAATCCTACTCGAATGTGTAAGGCCGCTATACTAGCCGTATGGCTAGCAATGGAGGGCTTAGGTGGCCCCGAGCCGAGTCTGAACTCCAGCAATTCTTCAGCATACCTCGACCCTAGACTGCAGCACCTTTGTGTTGGCTTACCTTTGTTTCTGATTGTAGGATCTTAACCATAAAGTAGGTCACACCACCCAGAAAGTTGCTGCAGTTACATTCTAGGTCACGCCGCTACACTTACATCCATCCCCGATGACTGTAACCTGTCGATCACAACAGTTTTGCCGACACCCTCTTGCATTATATTTTTGCAAGACTGTAGAGTCTTGACGTTTTTGTTTTTCAGATTCCTTTGTATTCGCTGGAGAAGTGGAGGCTCCGGGCGCGGTGTACCGTCTGTGAGCTTCAGATTTCTGGCGGGTTCTCAGCATCAGCCTACCAGCTGCCATGACCGGATGATTTGCTGAGCAGTCTCCCCATAGATCTATATAGTTCATTAATTAAAGGGACCTCTCAAAGGATCCATGCATCCTCGCCATCAGACAATTCGGTTTAGGGTCTTTCCTGGCTTGGGCACTGGGATGGTTCCTTCTGTTGTCCTGCTTGGGGCAATCTGGGGTCTTGCCGACTTTCCGTCACGGGAAACCATTGCAAGAGCTACGGTTGATGACAAAAATCCTGTATTGCCCATGATAAGGAATATACCACAAATTCCCATAGCTTAGGGTCCTCAAGGTACTGCAGGTTTTAGATCATCAACAGTATCAGCCCCAAAGTCATCCCTAACCCAAGGCAAGATTGCCGTGCAAGTCGCCGGCCAGTACGAGACATGCTTGGCGATCAAGATCAGGCCGCATTTAGACTGCTGTGTTCAATTTTGCTTTGAGGGAGCATGTTTTGTGTGTGTGTGTATACTAACATCAAGGGGCTGCTGCAATTTTCGTCCTTTATTATGGTTTCTAAGGGCGCTTAAGCAGAGTTTAGGCTTCTTCGGTTTGAGCGCTCCTGGCTGTTCCGCTTGAGGTTGCTGTTGGGGTCAGGATGTTGGCACATTGGAGCCCAGAAGATTCTCGAGGTACAGGGCTTGCAGGGTTTAGGGTTTAGGGTTTAGGAGCTCTTTTATTCAAAGGGCTCCATGGGAGGGTAGGTGGGGTAACCCCAAACAAGATGAGTCCTAAGGGTCCAAAGGACCCAACAATGAGGTACTCTGGTTACGGACAGTAGTAGTTATCTAGGTTAATATTTGGGAGAAGATATGTTTATTAGGTACTTGGACCCTCAGGGGAGAGTTCTTCTAAGGGAGCCTGAAGCCTTCCTACCTTCATCCCACTCTTTCAGGCCTCCACGCAGGCTTGGGGCATCGGTGTTCGGGAAGGTCTGGAGTGTTCCTCTCGCGGCCCAGGGTGGGACGGGATGCAAACATACCTTGAGGGTCCAAGCAGCGCTTCTTTATTGCTATTGGTACCCAAACAAGACCCACAGTCCTACAATGCGAGTAGTTGGACCGGTATCTGGGTTTATTTTGAGCAGGCTTTCTTGGCTCCCGAAGCCCTCAATCCAGTTCTCTTCCCGCCGTGTCTGCAGGTTTCCTGAGGTGAACTCAGGCGTCTTCGTCCTGCGGACACCAGGCAGGGGAGATCCCCAAGCTGTCGCGTCCTGAAACTTCATTCTAGCCAGACTTCCGTAATCTACGCCGTGAGGTACTGTAGAAGTCTGAACAACCATCTCAGATATAGAATAAGATTCCTTGTAGCATGCATATATATATATATATACAGATGTAACTAAGGTTTAGACAAACACAGTATAGAAGCACCCGAAACCCTGGCTAACTATTCAGGCCTCTACCTTGCCTAATCGAAAGGTGGTGACCCAGATGCATTGGTCGTGACATGCATCTCAGTCAGTAGCCCTGAGGGTCCATATCTACTACCATTCTGGAACTAGGTCCCAAAAGACCATCCCCCATGATGGCTTTAGAGCCCCAATTCCACCATAGGAGTATATGTGTACTCTCCTGGCAGTTCGTGTGAGCCCTAAACCCTAAACCCTACACCCTAAACCCTAAACCGTAACGAAAGAGAGCCAAAGCGGCAACTCGGGGCATTAGGGTTCTGGAGTGAGGCTTCGGAGCTTGAGGGCGCAGGACGCACGTGGTCCAGGCTCTAAGGTCTAGGCCTCTGAGGTTGAGGGTTTAGGGTTGGGGATAGCTTGATTCTTTGGATTGCTTCTGTGCGTCCTGCTTCTTCGAAGAGGAATTGGGGCTTTGGTTAAGGATGCGCCCTAAACCTGATAGGCCTACGCCCTGCAACCCTAGAATCCCTATCAAGTTTGAAACCCGGAAACCCTAAACCCCCGTTCAGCCTAAATCCACGCAGATGGCGATGAGTTCGAGACCTGGTGCGACCCTGAAGCAGCAGTCAGATCTTGGTCCCTTTCGTGGGAACTTCGGGGAACAAGCAAACCGTCAAGGTTTTAGGGCAGAGGACCCTGAGTGGTAGGGGATATGGCTGGATTCTCCTTAGGAGCTGCTTGAAGTCGGTTACAGTATGATTTAAAGCCAATTGCAGCATCAAAGCTTGCCTCTTTATGGGGTCGAGGGGCTTCTTGTGAAAGGACCCCAACAAGGAAGAGGACTCTCCCATTATTCTGTGTCGGGTGTGCTTGTTGTGAAGTTGGTGAATATTGGAAATCAGCGAGTGAAGACTGCACTGGCATGTTACCTCTGGGTTCTAGGTTCTAGGGATTATTATAGGGTGTTTAGGGTTGAGGGTTTAGGCCTTTGGCTTTTTAGGGTGTAGGGCTTTCGGGGTTTAGGATGCAGGATGCGAGTTTAGAGGCTCGGTTGAGGGTTGTTAGGGTTTCAGGGTTTAGGGTCTAGGGTTTCGGGGATTGTGGCTTGGGGGTGTAAGGGCTTGGGGCTTCACTAATACAAGCCCAGAAACCCGAAGCGAAAGTCAAAACATCTAAGACCAAGAAATGCAGGGGCTACGATGATGGGACGGTGCTCTGGGTGCCACGGGGTATACAGTAGCATTGTAGCAGAAACCTTGAGGGACGGCAAGGTGTTGTTGTTGCCATTCTATGCCTGGCATTCGACAGAACGGGCACACACACCATTGGCGCAGATCGCGAGCAGTTCTGCTGATGCCCCAAAACCCTAAATCCGTCGGACAATTTCTTGCGGGTTTGCCGTTCTCACCGCGCACAGCAAAGGTCTTACGCCGGCCCTGCAGGTGTGGCCGTCCCTGTCCTGGCCAGGTTGCAGCAACTTCCGCCGATAGACGGTGTTGTCCGCCCGATCCAGGGTGGTGGACGTCAGGGACTTCGTCCGAGGATGAGACGGTCAGCGGATCGGACGATGACAGCGTGTCGGGAGTGAAGCTGCAAACAAGCGCATACCAGCATAGGTGTCGAGCACAGGGCGGTTGGAATTCTAGCAAGCCCTAGAGAGGGAGCCCTGTAAACCCCAAGCCAAGTAAAACGAACGCACATTCAAGGACATGTCGCAGCAGGGTGGAGGATGGACCCTGCTGGCGGCAAGTAAGCAGGCACCCTGGCTGCTTCGAGATGCGAACTCAGTGACTCTCGAAAATGTCGCAATCGGGTGGTTCTAGCAGATTGGCGATGATTCACTTCGTGATAGAAACTAAGATAGCAAATATGTGTAGGTACACAAGCCACATCTCTAACCGTTTTGTTGTTCTACACTCATTTCGCCAGTCCAGAGCTGCAGCCCGAAATGTTAAGCCCTGCCTACGTACACCCTGCACCTTCAGAGACTTGGCAGGCATCTATACTGCTACTAGCTATTATGGAATTAGGACGCCAAAGACCCTCCTAATAATGGGTTCGGGGGACTTCATTCCATAATCGTAGTATATGTGGACCCTCTTGGTCAGGTGTGCTTTCGGCTCCATCTTGAGTGGATAGTTGTACACGGGTTGCTGCAAGGGCTACTATGCGAAAATCAGGGGGCTTCAGCACTAGACATGTTTGGCATCAAACACTCGCATCACTAGTATCTGCATGATCAGAGAGCCCGAATGACCCTGAATACAACCAGCTACCAGCAGCCGCATTGTGCACGACACGAAACTCCCAAAACGTGGGAGGCCCAGAGTTTTCGAGCACCTGGCCAGGTTGTTTGTGTTTAGCTGCTGAGGGTTTCTGGGCCCAGTTCAGTGTAATCGGGGGGCCTAGATAATTGCCAATGCTATTTTGGGGGCTCTTACTATGGTTATAGTATAATGCACCCAGAAACCCTATTCTAGTTATTAAGACCCCTATGTCAGGGTTTATAGGGTTCAGCTTCTATTCTCGGGCCCAGCTCAACCTCCGAAAGACCTACGTTTCTTTTCAAAACTTCTACAAATAAATCACAATAAGGAAGCCTGGAACGATTGTTTGTTTTTCAGTGTTCAGGCAAGTACTTGATAGACCCCGAAGATCGGAACGGAAAGCCATCTTCGAACCCTAAACCCTAAACCCTAAGCCGATTGCCTGCCCGCAGAACTCTGCACATCAAGCCAACCTTTTCCGACGAGGCTCTTGCTTATGGCCCAGTTGGTCGAGGGTTGAGGGTATTCGGGTCTTTGGCGTTTTCGGGCTTATGGGCCTGAGTATGAAGGGATTGTAGGGCTTATAGGGTGTATAGGGTTTAGGGTTTGTGGTGTGTTTTAGTCTTGGGTGTAGCTCTTGGATGTTGTAGGGCTTTTGGTTTTAGTTTGCGGCTTGCAGGCTTAGGTTTACCGAGGTTTGGGGCACCGCCACACTTCCGAGGTGTCGTCGGTTGCAGGTTGAGGGATTTTTGCGGCATCATGAAAGGGGTGGGAACCCAAACCCTAACAACCCTGTTTCCTCCTCCTTGGCCCGGCGGACCCATCCACGCCCCAGGTCTGCGTCGTGCCATGTCCATGCTGCCAACCCACCAGTGCATCCATGCCCAAACCATGATAATGTCCACGCTACCAACCCATCCGTTGACCAATGCATCCATGCCCAAACCATGATAACGTCATGGTACCAACCCATCCATTGGCCAGTGCGTCCATGCCCAAACCATCCATGCCCAAACCATGATAACGTCCATGCTGCCAACACATCCATGTGCACCCATGCCCAAACCATTTATCAACAAATGATTCCGTGCAGAAACATCGTTGTCGTTTATGTTTTTGCATATGTTGCTGCGTATATCAGCATAACGGTAACACCATGTTGAGCCATTAAAACATGTGACAGGGGTCTGCTGCCATGTTTTTCCAAACCCGTTCGAAGCCGGGGTGAAAGAACGCATTGTGCAGAACCTGGCCTTAAGCCTGCCGCTGCACTGCCATGTCAAAATGAAGAGACTCGGCCGCGCAGAAACATGGAATTTTGCTCCGCATATCATCATAATAAGGACGCCGTGTTCAACAATGCTAACATGTAAAAGTATGGGCTTTGCCATGTTTTTTTCGCACGATTCTCGAAGATAAACTGGGACAGACGACGGTGATCCACCCTCCATGCTGCTCAGGCGTTCGGTGTATGTAGCGTCTCGGGTTTGGGTCTTGAGGTTTAGGGTATTTAGTGTCTTCGAGTTGTAGGATTTGTATGTAAGGTTCGGATTCCGGATGTTGGGTTCAGACACTGCTGCATTCGACTGTGGATATGTACCATTATCCTTAGCCTGGCCGCCAGGCACCTACAAGAGCTACACCGAAACGGGCATCGGAAACCCGGATCTTGACTCCAGTGGCGCCTTCGGCAGAACTTATCAGTAGCCCCCTTGCAGGCCTTGTTGGTTTAGTAGTTCATTTCTTGGAGGGGGGATTCTCATTAGGGAAACTTTAGACTAGGAACAAGACTACCTTCGTGTGTGTGTGTGTGTGTGGGTGTGCCATGCCTTTGTGTCAGAGGACCTTCGTGCCAGGGTCGTAGATGGTGCCAAGAGGAAGAGCTTCGGGTTTTGGGGTCGGGTTCATAGTGGGCTTTAGTATTACATATCGTTTTTTTTTGCTATACAGGCCGTGTGGGTGGGGATATTGGTGACTCGTGCGGCGTTTTCAGACGAATTCGACAAGTGCAAAGAGCGGGAAAACCCCAAACCTTTAAGCCCGACCCCCCAAAGCCCTAAACCCCAAACTGCTTCAGGGCTAGAGGTACATGTGCAGTTGAGGAACCTCTTCAACCCTAACCCCTAAACCCTAAACCAGTGTCACTTTCAGCTCCGAATCTCCTTCCTGGGCCTTTCAGAATTTCACCAAACCCTACACCCCAAAATCCCGAAGCCTTAGAAGCCCTAAACCCCAAAAGCTTGTAAACCCTCCTAAATGCCCTAAACCCGAATTAAGCCCCTAAGCCCTAAATCCTAACTAAACCCTAAACCCTGATCAAACTATAAGCCGTAAACCCCTCTTGAAGCAGCTCCGAGGAATGTTCTGGGCGCCTTTGCACCTCGGCCTTTCGAGTTTAGGGTTCGGGCTTTGGGGTTTAGGGGTTCAGGGTTAGGGGTTTAGGGGCTTAGGGGTTTAGGGGCTTGGAGTTTCGGCGTGTAGGGGGTGGTGTAGGGGTTTAAGAGTTTTGGGTTTAGGGGTTTGCGGTTGTAGAGGTTTGGCTTAGAGTCAGAGCTCTGCGGTTGGGGTTCAGGGTTTAGGGATTAGGGTTTAGGCTGATGCTTCCTGGATGTTGAAGCCGGAAAGCCTGAACCCTCGGCCCTAAGCCGCAGTTTTTGTTATACTGACACTCCAGGTATTTCATAACAATATACCCTGCCAAGTGTTGGCCTACGTTGCTGCGACCCAACTGCTCTCCATCTAGTATCCTAAATAAACCCTAGTACCCCATAAGTGGTTCCTTCGGACATTGAAACCCTAAAACCCTTGTAGAACCCGTCAAGGAACCCCTAATCATTGGGTCTCTCTCGCATGCTGGAATCACAATCCTGTGCCGTTGAGTTTCATGAAGGCTTGAGCAGCATTTTCAACCATACACAAGAGAGGTTCCTTGGGGTCCCAGGCAGGGTTTTGGGTCCATCACGTTGTCCCACGGGACGTGCACGTATCTAATTACTCTCCACCTGCACCCCAAAGTTGCCGTACAGGAATAGAGGTGTAGGTTTAGGGTTAAGGGAATCACATTAAACGGCCAAAGTTTTGCTGTATCATATAGTTATAGTAGATCAATGGACCATTCTAGAACTCATGTTGGATTTCTTTCAGAAGAGCTTGTGAAACGGTTTAGAGAGGTGTTGGGCTGTCTGTCAGGAAGATCTGGGCACAATACACCGAGAAGTACCCGAAGAATCGGGCTGCGTGGCGGCAATGGGTGACAGGAAGGGTTGTTTGTTCTGGAGAGAAGAGCAGAAAGCTGCCACTCACTCCTTGAACCATTGTCCCAGGGCTGGATGAGAATTTGTAAATGGAGCTCCCTTTGGAGCCATAATTTGAGTACTCCCTCATCCTTCGCATGGTGGTATGTGTGCGACATCCTAACCTCCTAAACCGTCAGCCAGACAAAATAGTCCTTTAACCCTGAACCTTAAAACTGAATATCTGACAGCAGCAAGTTCAGAAGCCCACCGATCAAGATGCACCTCACCCCTGGCACGGCTACGAGGGTATGGTCACATGATGGCTCTATAGATTTCAGACCGTGCGGTGTATACACGTGTCAGGGAGTGGCACATGCTACTCAATAGGCCATCCCATGTAGTGGTCTTAGCGGTAGCATGGCTTTCGCATCAAATTTGATTATAAGGGCTATACCCCATAAGAATGGGGGGCAGAACCTACTATTTCGCAGGATTTGTTGACACCGATCCCCAAATCCCAAACCCCATGTTTGTTTGAACTGACAAAATCCTATAAGCCCGACATGCATTCCGAAACTGCGATTACAAAGCCAGAATCCGCGCAGAGCTCAGCGATATAGGCTCCCCGTAAACCCTAAACCCTTTCAACATGCCAGATGGTGGTCTTGGACTCCCGCTACCAAGTCCCGCATTTTGGTCAAGATGGCTTGCCTCGGGAGCAATCGTGTTTGGGCTTCGGGTTAAGGGTTTTGTGCTTACCTGTATCCCCAGACCCTACGAAATAGTAGGTTATGACCCCTTACTTATAGGGTCTAACTCTTAAAAGGGTAGGTTTTTGGACACCCAGGTAGGGCTTACCTTGAGGAGGTAGGTATGCCGGGGGGCTCCGGTAGGGTTTAGAGTTGGGGACCTTAGAGTTTTCGATGTAGGTTTGGGGTTTCCAGGGTTTAGGGCTTTGGGTTTAGGGTTTAGGGGTTTAGGGGTTTAGGGGTTTAGGGGTTTAGGGGTTTAGGGTTTAGGGTTTAGGGTTTAGGGTTTAGGGTTTTAGCTTTAGGGTCCAAGGGTTGGAGCGGCGAGGGTTTGGGGTTGTATGGAATTGCCGAGACTATCACAGTCGTGTTTGTAGTTTGTAGGTTCTTATTATGGAAAACAAAGCGTTCATGGGAGCCCTACAAAAGTCAGTTTTGGTAGGTTAAGATAGGTTTGAGTGCTTGAACCTTGTTAGCCCAACATCTTGCTGGAGGATCCAGGAACGCAGCTTCTGAAATATGTTGTGAGCATTGCTAAGCCAGGCCAGAGAGCGGGATGGCATCCTGGACGATGCCAAGAACGAGAACTCCCAACAGCGCAGGTGCATGTCAGCAAGAGCTTTCAGAAGGCCGTTGAGGAGCTGCCGGGTTTACGCAGCAATCTGCGCAAGGACGCCGCCAAGACCTTGCAAATGCACATGGTGCAGAGGTGCCAGCACATCGCGACCTGGACCTGTGAACCTGGAGATGAACCAGGAAGAAAGCGAGGTGGCCAACTTGCCAGAGCAGTCGGTGTCGACGTTGCAGAGTGCTCTGGACTTGCAGGCCGACAATATCATGGCCGTCGACAAGATCAAGCTTGTGGATATCCCTAAACCCTGAACCCTAATTGAACCCTAACCCCCCATTAAGCCCTACGTATACCCTAAAGCCTAATTAAACCCTAAACCCTAAAACCTATAATTTTAAGCTCTAAACCCTAAACCCATGTCACGGCAAGGCTCAAGATTCTATGTAAACCTAAACCCTGGACCCTCTAACCTCACAGCAAATTGGAGCTGAGCTTCTGCTAGTCGCTTCGCGCGAAGCTACTTGAAAGTTTCAGCCTTCTGCACCCTAAGAGTCCATGCCCTTGTAAGATATCACATCATATCATGTTAACAGTATATTAATACTGTATTATCTTGTTTATGCATATATATATATATACATACATACATACATACACAGAGAGAGAGATGTAGGTGTACAAATCAACATATATATATGTATATATATATATACATACGCATGTATACGTATATCTATATATATATATATACACACATAGAATACAGCATGATAAACTTAGTATAGGCCGTAGAAGTGTTCCGATATAGGAACCCTAGGGTCAAACATGCATGGCTGTTCTTCTAAGTAAAAAGTAGTGGGGTGCAGGGTTTAGGGACTACATAGGGCTGAGGGTTTAGTAACATTTAGGGCTTAGGGACTACATAAGGCTCAGGGTTCAGGGTTTAGGGATTGAGCCCACACCCTGAGCCAGTAGGATTTTTGCTGCGGGGGGGCAAGGCCCTCTAGGCCTTAAGTCCCAAACCGAAACCATTCGAACCAGGAACCTCTGCTCAATAGCCCCGTTCTTGGGCTTGGAGCAGTAGTGCCAGAGGTTGAGGGTGTTGAAGGGTTCTGAAACGTATACCCCGAAAGCCCTTTGCAGCTAAGGGACAAAGCCCCCGGTCTAACTGACATGGGCATCGACGCCAAGGCCCTGTGCCCCACAACGAGATTTTGAGGTTTGTGAGCTCCTAGGGCTTAGGGTTTTAGGGTTTCTGGTATATGGTCTCAGGGTTCAGGGTCTCGGGTTTGGGGTTTAGTCTTGGGGTGAAGGATGTCGGGTTAAGGTTCTTTGAATGAGAACTGAGGCAGATTTCAAGTGTGTGACTTTGCTTGCAGTGTGGGGTGTACCGGATACCGAGACCTCCCTCGATTTAGGGTTCGCAAGGGCGCGCACTGGTTGTTGTTTGTATTCGGGATACGGAAAGGCTTGTTGGAGTGTCCTGGTGAGTTTGAGGTGCCGCTACCTCTGTGGCCTGTGGGCTGTGCCGTATCAGGTGCAAGATGTAAACTACTTCACTGGATAAACGGTTTTCGAATTCCAAGGTGTCGAATGATGCGCTACTCTAAACCCTAAACCACCCCAGCCCTGATAACATAAGAGTCCTTCATATTCAGTGCATGAACCTAGACAACCACTAAAACGCATCTTCCTTCGGACATGCACTACACACCTCTTGTAAGGAGTCGGGTTTAGGGTTTAGAGCTGCAGAAGTCTTAGCGTCCCGCAGCCCTCAGCCCCAAAATCGGACGCCAGAAAGCCCTACACTACACCGTCCAGCCTGAACCCTAAACCCTTAAACCCTAGAACCCTAGATACTAAACCCCTAAGCCTTAAACCCCTAAACCCTGACCAGCTTTGGGTTGAGGGTTTAGGGTTTAGGAAACCCCTTCTCGACTCAAGCCTCCAAAACTGTCTACCCTTAGCCGCACTCTCAACCTGAACTCTGGCTTCCGAATAAGAGGGGTTCGGTTTAGGGGGTTTGGGTTTAGGGGTTTAGGGGTTTATGGGTTTGTGGGCTTAGGGTTTAGAGTTTAATTTAGGGTTTTAAGGTTAAGAGTTTTGGGGTTTAGGGATTTAAGGTTTAGGGGTTTAAGGTTTAGGGGTTTAAGGTTTAGGTGTTTAGGGTTTACCCCGAGCTGAAGAACCCTTTTTCTCCTAGACCCTGGACTGCAGGGCATTTTCGTTTCTTCGCTGCTGCTTACTGGTTGCAGTAGCCGCACCGGAGAAGTAGTAGGTACACATGTGCTAGATTCTTGGTCTACGGAAGGCGTGAAACAGCTCCAGCACGGATTTCGGCTGAAAGGTGTAAACCCGCAAAGCCCGTAAACTCTACAACGCCCGGAAGCCCTAAACCGGTATAAACCGTCAAAGGCTCAAAGGCCTCAAGGTGGGCTGAAGCTAGGTCCGCTAGGTAGGAGTAAGGATTCCTTATACAAGGACTCTTCTTTAGTTTAGACGCCTACGAGCCCTTTGAAATCAGGATGGCTTCCGGCTGAAAGGAATCGCCATCAAAAGCCGACCTCTTCGGTGGGTCGCGCAGCTGCCGCTGGGCATAGATGGGCCCAAGGTTCGGGCTTTAGGGTTGGGGGGCTTTAGAAGGGGGGGGGGGGTTCAGGCGTGAGGCTTCTTGGCCCAGAGACCAACCACACTGTGTAGGTCTGTCCGGGCTGTTTTGAGCCCTGAGGCTTGAGCTTGGGCTCTGACTGATGTAGAGCATGCCGGGTTGACAGACTGCGAGCAAACTCGTGCTTCAAGCATGCAGGTTATTTGTGTGGGTTCTTCTTGCAAGCTGTACTCCGTGTTCGTTACGGTACGTATAAGCAAAAAGTATCAGTCAAATGGGCGCTTAAACCTAAACCCTAAGCCCCTAAGCCTTAAACACCTAAACCCTAAACCATCTATTTGGGTTTAGCGGCTTCTACTTGTCAGTGCGGGGGTTTTAAGCTTGAAGACATTTCTCAGACCCACAGGGACCAAAGTACCTATGTAGGTTCCTATAAGGGTTTAGGGTTTTGGGGCTCCTTTAAGGGTTCCGAAGTACCTATATAGTAGAACGCAGGGTTTCTATGTTGGGAAGCCTTGTTATGACTTGGGAAGGTATCCCCCTGTAACAGTACCTAGGACCCTTGGGGATACGGCCTCGGCCAGTTTTTTGAAATGTCAGCCCAAAGCCTCTGTACTCGGGTCTTTTTTGTCGTTATTATTATTATTATTATTTCTTTT